CAACGGAAAATGTCCGTTGCTAAAATTCCGTTTCTATTGCCTCCTTTTCTAGTAGTGACATTCTTCAAAAAATATTATTTAGAACATAGTTTTGAAAATTAAAGGCCACCAAACATGGACTCAACAAAATTTCATCAAATCAATACCGTTCTAGTCATAATTTAGCCTTTATTTGATGACCATTAAAAAGAGTTTTTTTGAGATAATGAATTTTGGAATAGTGATTTTTTGAAAAATGTGCAGTTAAAAAGTAGAAAAAAATTTGAGTTTATGTATAAAATGTTTTATTGTAAGAAATTGTGGCTGAAAATGAATTTCAGATAAAAAGAGTTTTATTTTAATGATTGTCAAACAAGGGCTTAATAATTTTGGCCTAATCACATTTTTATATGTGGAAATTACATCCCACCAAGGTTCTAAACGTCACTTCAGGTGAGAAGTTTAATTAAGCAAAAATCAGATACAGCGCTTCTTCATACTAACCACTCAACGCTACCTGCTACAACTATCGGTGCATTGAAATGTCGACGGAGTCTCGAACGTAATGACGACGTCGGTGCAGCAGTGGCTCTCACGTTGCACCTCTACCTCTGCGGCAATGTCTCCGCTGCACACAGAAACAAAAGACGATTTTGTACAATATATGGAAAGACGATGTAGGAAAAGACATTATTGCCGTCGCGATATCGTGACCTGGTGCTCGGCGAATGCGACCATTGCCATTGCTTCTAATCTGACAGTGGTTGATCCGCAACAGCTCAGGACTGTTATTTCCTTTCCCTTTTTTTTTTTTTTAATGAGTTTGATTTCTCCAATGGTTATGGTGGTTTGTATGGCCGATGGTTGCTATGGTGGTGTCTTTTGCGGTTGTTGTGGTGTGTATGGTTGTTGTAGTGGTGGTTTTGTGGGTATTGTGGGTGTGGTGGTGGTTTTGGAATTGTGGGGTGACAGCGGCGAAGTGTATGGTGGTAGTGAGGGGGTGGCGCTGTTGTCGGTGATGGTGTGTTGGTATGGTGAGAATGAAGAGTGTGATCATTATTAAGGTGTTGTGGCCATTAGTTAATTTGTGACCTAAGAAAATGTGTGATTGTTACTAAATTTGGAATCATGACAAAAAATTGGTAAGTCATGACCAAATAATTCGATTATTTGTGATTGGAAAATAAATCGTAACCAACTAATTGATAATTTGATATTTAAAAATAATTTGTGACCAATTATTTTGATAATTTGTAACCGTAAAATAAATTGTAACCTATAAAATCTATGATTTGTTACCAATAAATAAATTGTAACCTATTAGTTTTTTAATTTGTGGCCGATGAACAAATTGTGATATGAGATTTTTGATTTGTGATCGTAAAATAATTTGTAGTCTACAAATTTTTTGATTTGTGACTAAGAAATAATTTGTAACCAATAAATAAGTTGTGACCCATAAGTACATACATGTGACCATTAATTGTATAATTATTTATTTAT